TGGGCCTTTTCTCTCCTGGCCTGACTTGCTTGAAAGCATGCAGGTTCATCTGTATGTATTAGTTTTATGTATTATGGTGGGGTGCACTCCAGGGTTACGTTGGCACCCCCCTCCACCTCTACGTATGGAGGGGAGGCCCAGGGCAGGGCTACGTCCGGGACCCTCGTTGCTCAGGAGTCAGATGTAATCTTGGCAGCCCGCTAACACCTGTCCACTTAAGCGTGTTCAACTTTTGGGACTGACACCAGGTTGTAAACCTGGGTCACTGACTTGCCAGTGTAACAAGGCAGTTAGTAGTCTCCCCCGGGACTGGATAAAATTTATGGGTTTTGCCCGTCTGCAGCCATAATTTCCGCCACAAGGTTATGAAGTACCTTAATAAAAGTATAATTGTCAAATTATCATGTTGTTTATCTGTTATTAGTTCTGGTCGCACACATAAGTGACTATGTGATGCCAAGTGTAAAATCAGTTATTGTAAACAGAGAGTAATATTCAAGTTCTCTTCAGAAGAGAAATAAAGATTGTGATAGCAGGGTGTCCGTAGTATTATAAAGGATGTATGTGATTTAAATAAATTTTTCAGTGATACCCAATTTTGTTTCTCTGTTACCCAATTGTGTGTCAAGTCCAGGGGTAAATACCCAATTAACCCAAAGCTTATCATTAGCTCTATGACTACAGTATTATTAACAAGAGGGCCATGATGGCCCTGAAGTCGCTCACCTGTATATAGCAGACATGGGGCGATTACTTGACAATTGTAATCGATTAAATTATGATTATTTGTTAAAATGCTTGATTAAATTAAATTACTGATTACTCCATTTTGACATTGTAATTGATTAAATTACTGATTACTGACAGGAGTAATCAGATTACATTTATGTATAATGATTACATGTACATAAGTTAAGAAATGCAATGGTTCAACACTATCGTTTTATTGAACATTTCAATACAACAAATGTACAAAAAAATAATCCAGCTTAGTTTTACAGTAATTAATTCAGTCTACATATGTACATGTGTTGCCTCCTATTTACTAAGCTACATTTCATATTACATTTAATGTTCATTAGTTTTTCAAATGTATTTGGTTTCAGGAGGCACCTCATAGGAGTAAAGATACTTTTTGCTTCTTCATGGACTTAACAATACCAAAATGTAACAGAAAATATAACCATATCTCACTTTTGTCAGTAGTTGCAGCTTATACTTGCTCTTAACTGAACCTGTAAAGTTTTCTCAATAAGTGATAAAATACCTATCCAGGCCATTGTTATAATTTCACAGCTAAATTTAAGTGGTATAATTGTGACAATCATTTATGTATTGGGTCAATCTGTCAGTGACCTTTTCATCACCTTATTAAAACACAGGTGTCATCAAATCTGACCTGGGTGACTGCATTTAATTCACCAACAATTCCTAAGACAATTAGTAGGCATTGACACTGGTACTTTTTTAACCTTTATAATTTATTATGTATTTTTGTTCAGCAATTTTTTTTAGCTTAACATGTATTGTAATCATACATGTAATCATTGTGATTACTGATTAATGAATCCCGGACAATCCCCCTCCCGGACGATTCCCCTTCCATATTATTTTCACAACCCGGACATTTCCCCTCTCGTTATTTTAATAGGGTGGACTTTTCCCCTCCCGTTAATTTTATAGGACGGACAATTCCCCTCCCGTTATTTTAGCAGAGCGGACAATTCCCCTCCCGTATTTATCAGAGCGGACGTGACATTATACGGCCCTTAATCATAGCCGCCACTGAGTATAAAAAATCTATAACCATTCTTATTAAAGATGACAGTTTTTTTACTCTTAACAACACACTGTTAAAGATCGGAACTTTTAAGAATCATTATTTCACAAAGGTGACATTATACCGCCTTTAATCATTGCCGCCGCTGCTTAAGATAAACAAACTGTCAATAAAAAATCTTTAATCAATGCTGCCCTTAATTAAATGTATCCTTGATTGCAAAACCAATTAATTACAATTATTTTACAGCTGCAGAAATGTATTGACGAAATAAAGATTATTTTAACAAAAAAATGCGTTTTGTTTTGTTTATATTCATGTCAATATAGACAAGCAAAATGTATTTAAAGTCGATTAAAAATACCTTTCAAATAAACAATATTATAACATATATATGTTCAACAGCTCAAATAAACAATATTATAACATATATCTGTTCAACAGCCACTGGAGGGAAATTGTCCGCTCTGACAACAGCGGGAGGGGAATTGTCCGCTCTGCTAAAATAACGGGAGGGGAATTGTCCGCCCTGTAAAATTAACGGGAGGGGAATTGTCCGCCGTAAAAAAATAACGGGAGGGGAAATGTCCGGGTTGTGAAAAAACATTCAAATTTACTGGGAGGGGAATCGTCCGGGAGGGGAATTGTCCGGATATCCTGATTAATTGGTCATGTAATTGATTAAATAATGATTAAATTACAGGAAAAAAATTATGATTACTGATTACTGTGATTACTCAAACAATTGTAATCGATTAAATTAAATTAAATTACCAATTATGATTACCCCATGTCTGGTATATAGGCCCCCAGGGTGGGGCCAGTTTAAACCCCAGGGCTTTTATTTGAACAAACTTGGTAGACACCCATAACAAGATGTTTCATGCTAAACATCTAAGGTCTAGCTCGTTGAGTTTTTTAAAAAAAAAAAGATTTTTTAAGTTTTAACTATACACATATAGTTCAAAGCAATGACACCCCTAGGGCGGGGCCAGTTTTGCCCCCAGGGCTTTTTTTTAACAACCTTTGAAGGCACTCACTAGAAGATGTTTCATGCTTAATATCTAAACTCTTTAAGCTCTATTTGGTTTTTTCCAAAGAAGATTTTTTAAGTTTTTGCTATACACATAAATAAAATCAATGACCCCCGGGGCAGGGCCAATTTTGACCCCAGGGCTCTAATTTGATCAAATTTGGTAGACACCCATTAGAACATGTTTCATGCTAAATATCTTAGCTCTAGCTCTTTGGGTTCTTTAAAGGAAGATTTTATAAGTTTTTACTATATGCATATAGGGAAAATCAATGACCCCCTGGGGCGGGGCCAATTTTGACCCCAGGGCTTTTATTTGAACAAACTTGGTAGACACCCATTACAAGATGTTTCATGCTAAATATCTTAGCTCTAGCTCTTTGGGTTCTTTAAAAGAAGATTTTTTAAGTTTTTACTATATGCATATAGGGAAAAACAATGACCCCCGGGGCGGGGCCAATTTTGACCCCAGGGCTTTTATTTGAACAAACTTTGTAGACACTCACTAGAAGATGTTTCATGCCAAATATCTAAGCTCTACCTCTTTGGTTTTTTTTAAAGAAGATATTTTAAGTTTTTTCTATTGGTTGCCATGGCAACCAGAGTTCTGCATGGAATTAAATTCTTTGAACAATTTTCAAAGGTGACCACCAAAGGAACATTCCTGTGAAGTTTGGATGAAATTGGCTCAGTGGTTTATGAGGAGATGTCATTTAAAGTATAAGTTTACGGACGCCGGACGAAAAGCGATCACAAAAACTCACCCTGTCACTTTGTGACAGGTGAGCTAAAAACACAGACCGATGTTCTGCTGCCGATTTTAATTCGGAATAAAAAAATGACTCAAGGACCTTTAATTTCTTCAAATAGTTGTTTTTTGTTTTTTTTGTTTTGGGTTTTACTTCACATCAACACAGTATAGGTCATATCGCGACGTTCCAGCTTTACTGGTGGAGGAAGACCTCAGGTGCCCTTCCGTGCATTATTTCAGGCACGAATGGGCACCTGAGTAGAACCATTGACGTTCTGTAAGCTAGCTGGATAGCTTCCTCACATGAAAGAATCCAAAGTCCCTGTCGGGATTCGAACCCACAGCGGTGAGGGGCAAGTGGTTTGAAGTCAACGACCTTAACCACTCGGCCATGGACGCCCCTTCAAATAGTTGAGCTAAAAAGTTTTAATCAGAATAAAAACTGCCTCAAGGACCTTAAATTTTTTTTTTTTTCAAATGGCTGAGGTAAAAAGGCTATCAATTTGATACAGTAATTCCTGCAACAATGAGAACCGAATAATAAAATGAGCCGCGTCATGACAAAACCAACATAATGCGTTAGCGACTTGCTTGGATCCAGACCAGCCTGCGCCTCCGCGCAGTCTGATCAGGATCCATGCTGTTCGCTATCAGTTTCTTTACTTGTTATAGGGTCTGTAAGCGAACAGCATGGATCCTGATCAGACTGCGCAGGCTGGTCTGGATCCATGCTGGTCGCAAACGCATTATGTTGGTTTTGTCATGACGCAGCTCAAATGACCGATAATTTATAGAATACTCACTTCAACTTCAGGAAATTCGTGTTTTTTTGGATTTGCAGGAGAAGGTTGACTGGTGGGTGGTTTACACGTCAGAGTGTCTCTTGTTAGCTCAATTACAGTGCAGTTTGCTGTACCAATAGATACCCGAAAATCCGTTTTTATTGTCACTAAATCTAATGCATCACCCTAAAATATATAATGATTTTATTGTTAATCTTATCCCTGCTGCATTAGTACCTTGAAATGGCCTCGTTTTGAAATTAAATCAGGTCACTGTTAAATGAAAGTACAGCACCCCTGTAGAACCACACCCTTTATAAGACCAATATTTTGGTTGTTGAATAGAGGTGATGTTCTACAGTGGTAAAATATATAGAAAATTGTGATACATTTAAATCTGCAAGCCTTTGACAGAAAAAAATATTGACAGCAAAAATACCTTTGACAGCCAAAAATACCTTTGACAGCAAACAATACCTTTGATAGCCAAAAATAGTTATAGATTGGCACTCATTATGGTTTTTGTTTCGGTGAAACTTTTTGGTAATTGATCAAATTTAAATGAAATAATCTGTTGTTTTCGTCAGTACTTAATCTTCCATAAATCCAACTAAATATTAGTACTACATGTATTTATTAAATTATTTATTATCAGCAGTAAAGCAGCCTTTAATTCAAATCTTACCACTGAAACCTTGAACTGTAATTAGTAAATATACAACATAATTGAGCCGCGCCATGACAAAACCAACATAATGCGTTTGCGACCAGCATGGATCTAGACCAGCCTCCATCCACCAGGATCCATGCTGTTCGCTATCAGTCTCTCTACTTGTTATAGAGTTTGTAAGCGAACAGCATGGATCCTGATCAGATCTTGATCAGACTGCACAGATGCACAGGCTGGTCTGGATCCACGCTGGTTGTAAACCCATTATGTTGTTTTTGTCATGATGCGGCTCATATGATTGATAACTAAAAAATTCTTTCTTTCAAAAATTTTTACCTTCAGAATAAGCTGATGCTCATCTGTTTCGTATAGCAAGACATTTCCATCACCACTTAATTTCTGTACAGTTGGATCTTGCACATATTTGATAATAAAATCTTTTTCTACCCCATCTAATTTTACAGTAACAGTTACTTCAATGCAGCCATCACATGCAGCTCTTTTCCTTCTATTTGATGATTGATTGACTTTGGCCATCACATCATTTCTCAGTGATTGAGGGGCTACTGGTATAAGACATTTGGTAACAGCGTTTGACTCAATTTCACATTTTTCTTCCTGAAATATGGAAAACAGTAAATTAATAATCTAAGAATTTTCTATTTGTGCTTGACTATATCATATGCAGTAATGTTATCATTTACTTAAGAGATTTGAAAATGATAATCATCAAGATCATATGGTAGGAGTGTTATGATTAATTTTATTTGCTATACTTCCTGTCCACCTAACCAAATTTCCTAAGTTACAAACCAGTAATTTCCAATTACTCCAACAGCGCAAGACTACTAATCCCACATGGTTTTTTGGTCAGCTGGGAGCGACAAATGACCATTAGACTCAATGGTCATAAATCTATTTGATTTCAAACTGAGCCCACTAAGCAGGAGTTTTCTATGCTAAAAAATTATTGAGCCGCGTCTAGACAAAACCAACATAATGGGTTTGCGACCAGCATGGATCCAGACCAGCCTGCGCATCCATGCAGTCTGATCAGGATCCATGCTATTTGCTATCAGTTTCTCTACTTTTAATAGGGTTTCTAACGCATTACGTTGGTTTTGTCATGACACAGCTCAAATGTGTGCATATGACAGTCTATGAACTGATATTTCTACAGACGGACAAAGGCAAATTTTCATCCCTTAAGTAGTGGGGACTTAAAAAAAATCCCAAGTAAGGGAAATTCAAAGTTCAGTGAAATGATTATCAAAGCATAAAGGTTTGGTGACTCATGAATAGGAATGACATAATCTACAAGCACCAATAATTAAAAGTACTATCGAAGAATACTGCCGACTGAATAATACATCATTATCAATCCACTAATTAAAATTTATCTTAAAAAGATTCGACCTATGTTCAATTTAATGATGGATCAACTTAGAATGCTTAACTGATTACACTAACCCATAACCTGCTGTATTTCTAAAATGGACTTGTCATTCTTCCATTTTCTGTAACTACATGTACTAATTATCAATGCTGCGAATATCAAGATGAAATTAACCTTTTCCCTTATATAAGCGTGTTTCGACGGCTTTTTGCCCCCCCCATTTTTTGAGTTCTCAAACAGTGAAAAAATGCCCTATTTAGGCCCCAAACACTGTTTTTCGTTTGAGAAATGTTGTTAAAAAAGTGACCACTTTTTCGGCGCCGTCCCCCATCCAAATATTACATCAGGGGGTTGCCAGAAGGGGGATGTGCCAAGAAAAGTTTGGACATGTGACAGGCTAAAATGGCCTCAGATTGATCTTAGGGTAACAAGTAACCTACGCTGAAAAGGCTTTTACTCTATGTCAATTCACTGAGAAGTTGCAGCACTTTGAAATCAGTTTTGATGGAAAAAACAATGCAAAATAGTGATTTTTGGCAATTTTGAGACGTCCCCCCGTTGCCATGGTAACAGGAAATTTACCATTGAGCATGCTGTTACAGAGGCTATGGTGTAGTCAACATTTGTGCCAAGTTTCATTAGTATTGAAGCATTTTTCATAGTTTCATAGCAGTTTGAACTTGTTACAGGAGGCTTTTCAATGAAATCGGCCATTTTTCGCAATATGCTCATGGGGTAAAAGGTTAAAGCTCTGCCTTCAATAAAGTGTTTTTGCTTTATACATGTAATTATTGGAACTTTTCTACTTGTTGGCTAATATAAAATGACGAACAGAATAATAATTTTCTCAAATCTTGAAGAGATTAGAAGTTATTCCTAATTGCTGCTTATTTAAGATTGATCTTACAGTAAGATATTTGCTACAGACATTATTTGTGCACTGAAATATAACATGATAATAAATTAGGATTTAAATAAAACTAGAAATGTGTCTATAGGACATGGGTGCCCCCACACTCCACAGACTTGTCAATCTTATGTCTCTAGGTCAAATATTTTTTTGGCTACATGTGCCCAAGTTGAAAACTAAAAATCTTTCATTAAGTAAAGGGCAAATACTACAAATACTGAATAAATCCACAAGAAAACCCCAAGGTGCATAAGAACACATGCTGACCAACATACTTGTAAACTTTCAGGCCTACAGGTCATAAACTTTTTGAGTTACATGCAACACAAGTTAAATATTGTAAATTTTTACTTAGTCAAGGGCAATAACTCTAAAAATACTTAAAATATCGACATGAAAATACTCAGGTGCACAACTCCACATGCTGAGCAACATTCCTGTCAGGTTTTATGACTCTGGGTCAAATATTTTTTGAGCTACATGCGACACAAGTTGAAAATAGGAAACTTTACTAATTCAAGGGCAATAACTCTAAAAATACTAAATAAATCCACACAAAAATACCAGGTGCACAACTACACATGCTGATCAACATTTCAGTAAGGTTTCATGACTAAGTCAAATATTTTTTGAGTAAGGAAGGACGGACAAGGGTAAATCTAAATGCCCCCCCCCCCCCCCATAATGGCACAAAAAAATCTATGTACAAACACATCAAATTGATCAATAAATGGCTAGATAATAAAAAATGTGAAAAGCAGAATCCTCTGAAAACCTGACCTTTGGCAAGCTCCAGTTTTCAGAGTTTATACTATATCCCTATTTCCCTTATTCTCAGGTTTTCTCATATTCTCCAGATTGAGTAAAAATTGAAGGAATCTACGCTTGTGAAAAAACTTAGATATCCAAAAACGCATCAACTTTCTTGTGCTTATCATTATTGATCATGAAAGGAAAAAAAATGAGGCAGAAACAGGTAAAACTGATATATTTCTTGACTATAAATAAAACTCACCACTTTGTCATTCTTATACTGAAACTTCACCACTCCAACATTGGCATGGTGCAGGTCTGTTCCCAAAATTGTTAAAATTGTTCCACCCCTGCAAAATACTCAGGGTTTTTTTTAAACTGTCACTTTAAAGAAAATTGTTTTTACAAAAATTTCTTGTTCTTGTTAAATCTTTTAAGGGGTCCTATAGACTACCATAATAATATCTAACATATTTGTAGGCGATCATATTGGCTAGTATACATGGTACATATTTCAAGAACTTTTCATTTGCAAATCATACAATATTCACCAAAAATAAAAGAATATTTATTCTATTTTATACTTTACAAGTTGAGAAAAAATCAAAATACAGTCTAACTAGCCTATGAGACCATGTGTATTAAGCAACTTTCGTCTCATGTGACCACTGTAATTACCTCCAAATCATTTTCTCTCTAAATCTTTAATGTATTAAGAGACTTTTGCTCAACGCGACCAACGATTACTAATAAGCCAGCAAATTGAGTCAAGCAACAACTTTTACCTGTCAAGTGTTTGTTGTTTAAGTGAATGTCACCTCGTGATGTCACATTAGAGTTAACAATCAAATCGCAATAATTATACAATTATGTGAAAAACTCTCTTTTCTAAACAGTTTTTAGCGTATGCAAATGAAGTTAAGTATACACGTTTTGTGTATAATCCAATAAAATTGATAGAATAATGGCATCTACAGAGATGGAGTATAATTTATGCTTTGCTGTTGATATTTAGACTGCATTGACTTGATCAGCAATTTAATTAATCTGTAAAATTAGATGTAGTTTGTTTATTTCAAATGAAAAATGCACAACAGAAAACATCTACACTAATAAAAAATTTTGTGCAGCTTAAAAATAAAATTTTTGGGAAAATGATAAACATGTATGTAATGGATCAAAACTGTTTTGTCAATAAATATTTTTGATTTGTTTAGCAACTACAATGTATTTTACATTAGCTGAGTATTAAAATTATTAAACATTTATATAAATTAAGTTACAAAACTTTCTCAACACAAAGGAAAGATGTCATTTTGACTTTTTTCTTGTGCTTTGTATTAAGAGACTGTTTCATTAGTGTTTCCCCTTGCTCGGTCGCTTAAAACACATTTGATTGTATAAGATGACTAAAAGATAATTACAGTGGATACAAACTTTTATTGAATTTCTTATTTTCAAAATATATTACATTATTGAAATAAAAAAGTGTTACTTACTTTAAAAAGCCGCCCTTTTTACCCTCTATTTCGGATATATTTGGATTTGTCAAAGTCTCAAAAGTTATAATGTTCTGAACGAAAAATTTATTCCCATCCATCTCCAGCAGTAGTAGTGTTTGATTTCCAACCTCTGTGTATATCTGTGTGACACATTCTATTGTAAAGAGATTACTGAAAATAAAGTGATATTCATTAGGGTAAAGCAGAATATAACCCCTAGAAGTTCTTTAATAAACATTATTAGACAGAACAACAAAAACAATTTTTCATAATATTTTTATGCATAACCCGAAAAATTGTAATAAAAGTAACTTGGAAATCTCAGTGATGTCAACTTGAAAACAAGAGGACCATGAAAGCCCTGATATTGCTGACGTGAAAATAATGGTACTAAATGACAAGGGACAAGTAAATTTGATAACTTCAAATGAAAAGCAGGTATGGTTAAACACTTGATAACACTAACACTTGATATCAGAGTTTGAATTTGCAGCTGATCAAGTTTACATACATGTAGTCCTAAATGTCATAGCTGTAGCTGTCAATACAAACAAGGGGGCCATTGGCCCCAAAGTGCTCACCTGAAGACAGACTCAGTTTGAATAATGTTGGTCACTAGACCATACTTCATGCAAAAAATATTTTCTGCTTTTTACTATATACATGGTCCTAATTTCATAGCTGTACATCAAAAACAAGAAAGGTCAATAGGTCAATATTTATGTCATCTGATTTCAATTCTTTACCTGAAACTGTGCACATGGTCAAAATCATTATAAATGTCATAGCCACAGTAAACAAAAGCTATCAGTGATCACATATGTCACTTCATGATATCCAATTGCATGTTGCAGCAAGAGACACAAATATCATTAACAGGGAAAATGTGATTTTTATCCAAGGGCCAAATATCAGTCCACCGGCAAATTTGTGTAATATGCGCAATTACTTAAGCTTCAGGTCGGTCAATCCATTGAAAATTAAACAATATTGCATTTGTGGTATAAGAGTAGTCTGGACAAATTTAAAAAATAAAATTCATTAAAGGGCCTTAACTCTGACAAAAATCATTGAACTAGAAAATGGCGAAGATATGCACAACTAGACTTGGTACTGATCATTCTACTTAAGTTTGGATGAAATTGCACCAGTAGTTTCTGAGGGGTAGTCAAGACAAGTTATGTTACAGACAGATAGATGGACAGAAAGATGACAAAGAAGTGATCCCTATTTTTCCCCACTACTCTGTAGAGGTGACACAAAAATTGTGCTCTAATTAATTATTAGTACTAAAATACATATTTCAACAACAGTAACCAATTTGATTTTTTGTTTCAACTTACAAATACACAATACTCATAGAACATTTAAACGTAATGAATGTTTTAAATAACAACTGTAGTTTTTTACAAAAACATTTAAAGCACATTTCATTTCAAGACATTCATAGCATTAATATCAGCTTATCATTTTGCAAATTTAAAGAGAGGAGGTGTTAGAATATTTCTATAGTCATTAAGTGTTAATTTAATGTTGTTCGTTGAAAATCATTGTAATTGTTTTTCGTATTGACGATTCAACACCTTGTTATTGTAAAGAAGGATTTGCCACATCAGTATAAAACCTGTCGCTGTTCATACTGGTTTTGACTGGATGACTAAATAGCCTATTGGACGGGTTTTGTTTTCATGCAAATACAAGTTTGGTGTAGGTATAAGATGCGCCCGTGGCCATTTGCTGCCGATGTTGTGCTTTTTTAATTTTTTTAGCAGAGATGGAGTAAAAATGCATCCTCAGCAGATCTCAGGGGTTCATTTTAGAGCCAAGATGCACCTGTGAAGGTTAAAGGCAAAGGGCCATTGTGTTGTCAAGTTATTGCTAGGAATATAAAATATAATATGAACTTGACCTTTCACCTAGTGACCCCAAAAACAATAGGAGTCACCAGATACTAGTCATGACCAATCATAATACCAAGTTTTAAGTTTCCAGGACCAGGAGTTCTCAAGCTTAAGATCAGAAACCGTTTTAAAATAAAAGGTCAATGTGACCTTGACCTTTGACCAAGTGACCCAAAAAACAAAAAGGGTCATCTACTGGTCTACGGACTGACTGATGGACTGGCATGTGCAAAGCAATATTCCCCAACTTCTTTGAAAAGGGACATAATTAGTGGCACAAATGAAAGCTTCTTTATCCCCTTACCATTATAATTTCTAACATATTTGATATTTAAAATTTTTTTGGGTACAATTTTCTTATTTATTGTCCAATTAGCGCAATTGCAATTCACAAAATTCTAGTAACCCAAAAGCAATCCCAAGCAAAGTCTCCACAAAAGCTTGCTATAAACCAAGTTTGATTACAATACAGTCGAACTTCATTCACTTGAACTCGGAGGGCCTGTGTAAATTTGTTCAAGAGATAGGTAGTTCGAGCCAACTGAGGTTGAACTAATTATCACCTAGGACATAGTCTTAAAGGTTTTCCAGCTTACATTGGACGAATGATAAACATATTGTTTGAAAGTATATCAGTTTGTTGCATACGTCATTTCTAATAATATATTTAGAATTAATATCCCAGTGTTTACAAAATTTAATGAGTAGTAACGGTTTACTATGTTAACCTATATTCATGCATATTTTAATTGGCTGAGTTCAATTGGGCAATTATTTTTTCCAAACTTGTTGAACAATGTTCAAAATTCATTTATATTTTTATTATGGGATACATTTTATTTTAAACAATGAAGTCATAAAATATCTAAATGAACAACAATATGCAGTAGCATCTATTTATAGTCATTTACTAAAATAAAAACAGATACAAATATAATTCTATAAATAGATAACACAGTTACAATTCACAATACATGAACCACGCTTGTAATTAAAGCCGTCCGAGTGAACTCTATTTATCTATTGACTTTTGCACATTTCATGAGTTATTTTATTTTAATTCTTACTAAAAACGGCAAAAATATTATCATAACAAACAAATTGGTTATAACACCCAATTAACCCTAATTGCTTTTATCATGATCATGAGCTGTTTAAAACATGTGTCGCCAACTGCAACTTATTCAGAACATGCTGACTTTCAACTTTTGTTGTCTTTTCGTGTGCAACCGAAAAGGTGTGATTTTCAGTGTTTAAATAATCCTTGGTAGAACAATATATGTTATATAGGAATTTTGACAGGACTGGGCGATGACTTCGAGTGAGGGTAGGTATTCGAGCCATCCGAGTTCAAGCGAACAAAGTTTAACTGTATCTCATTCCTCTGAGCTCCAGCTATTGACCAGAAACCAGTTTCCTATTTTTAGGAACAGTGACCTTGACCTTATTAGGGACCCTAAAAGCAACCTTAGCAAGGTCTCATAAGCTTGCTATAAACTGTCTCACACCATGTCTCATTAAAAGATGTCACACACCTGTTTGCCTGACCTACTATGCCCATTTTACAAAATCTAATAACTATGATTTTTCAAATTGACACCTGGTAAACAATTTAAGTTGTAAATGTAATGAAAAGACTTAAACATACCTGTTAGGTACAGGTTTTGCCTCAATGTCTATATAGTATTGTGGACCTAGCGTAACATTCCAAATTTTATTTCCAATGCCCAAGTTCTTTCCTGATATGGTTATCTTAGTACCACCTGCCTTTGGTCCAGATGATGGGTTAATTCCTGTGACAGTTGGTACCTGAATGAAGAATAAATGTCATTTTTAGAAAAATCTGAGTAGTCATGCATACCTTGAACATATATAATTCATAAACAGAAGAGACATAATTGATCTGACAGGTAAAAATCAAACTAGAAATGTGTACATTAGACACTTATGACTCATTTGCCTTTTCACAGTGGCCTATTTTACTTATGTATACATGTTTCCTCTGTCCATGTACTATGTTCTTTATAAAAACCTGTACATGAGTCAGATTTTTATGTACTGCTTTTTTTCGATGTGTCACAGTTTAATCTGTATAGAATAATTCAAGAACATTTTACCACTGATTAGGGCTGGGGCAAGTATTCGAGTACTCGGATAATCACGAATCAAAATGAAAAATCAAGTATGAATATTCGTCAGTCCAGAGATCGTGGATTGCGATCTTATTTGTTTATTACACATTCGCTGTTTTTTACACTTTAAATTTAAAAAAAAAATCAATTTGTGTATGAATTATGCGAAGTTTACCTAAATACAATTTGCTCATTAAAAACAGGAAGAAAACAAACATGTACCATGATGCTGAGCTAGGAAGTCATTAGTTTCGAAAAAGGAATCACTTTATCTTTATTGAGCACTTGTTTTTAAATATTTTAGTCGCTATGTATAGATCTATAATGAAGTGACATGTATTGAAGACTGTTTTATTTTTAGGAATCCACAATTTGCTAAACGCAAGTAAATACGTCAGTGTGACATTACATGTATTGGCTGAAAAGGAGTCACGCCAATATAAAAATCCCACCTGCAAAATTTACTTCCAATTTTTGGAAATACTTGTAAGTCCAAGAGATGGCGGGGTTTTATTGCAACTTACTGTATCACAAAAAGAAACATTGCCGTTATAAAGCATGTTATTTGTGGTTTATAAAAACCCATTTCTTAAGTTACGCAGCCCGGGCAAAAGTACAAAAATTCAAGATGGCCGCCATAAATTACAAAATACCATATAATTTTTGTTTCTTGATTTTTTACATACGGATTTTGTACAAAGTAGTTTTAATTGCATAATATCAGATAAATTATGGCTAATTTATGATTCAATCAAGCAAAAATGACAATTACATGGCAATCTTAAAAATTATCACTATCAATTTACCTAAAAAGTGGTAAAAAATAGCATTTTTTGACAATATAATGTCTTTCGTTTTTCCGTATTAAAACAATATTAATGAAATTGCATTGAAATTGTGTGTACTTTATCAATCTTACATATCTAGACAAGTTAAGCATAAAAAATCATTATCTGAGCATTAATGATGTAAGAGTAGAGCTTAAAAAGTGGGTGGGGTAAAATTACCGAAAAAAATATTTAAAATTACAATGTTCCCAAAACATGCCTTTACATTATAATTTTAGTTTAATGTATAGGAAATTGTGTTTTAATTGTATGTTATTTATCAGTTGAACATTTATTAATAAGTTAAGCATAAAACTTCATTACCTGATCATTTATCACAAATGAGTACAGCTTCAAAGGTGGGTGGGGTAAAATAGCCCCCAAGAAAGCGCGTTGAAAATTAATAAGCTCCTAAAACTTGCTTTTATTTTACAATATTAGTGAAATAATCATATATTAATTGAATTTAGTGGTTACATATAAAAATATGTATTACATAGCAACCTTTAAGATTATCACAATTAACCAAAAATTTAACAGGTAAAAAAAACACAGTTTGAGCATTTTGTTGCCTTTTAGTATATCATTTCGACACAAAGTAGAAGAATTGTGCTACAGTTGTTATAGCTGATTATAGCTATACTAGTTTGGCATAAAAATCATTACAAGGGAATGTATCACAGAGGGATAGAGTTAAACAAGAACGTGTTTGTTAAACACAAATGCCCCCGGCTCAGATTCTTGTCAGTAGCAATACTTTATAAATGTTTACCCATTCACTCAGTTATGGACAGAAAAATCACCCAAAAATTGTAAACACAAGTTTTATAGCTTGACAAAGTCATGGCATTTTGTAATTGTGAAAAATATAAGTTGCCAAGTCATTGCTCTGACTTGTGAAGTTGAAAAATATTCAACTTCATGCAAGTTATCTTCCTACCAAATACGAAATACATCTGTCATTAAATAAAGGCTGTATGGGCAAAAGTGTAAAAATCTATTTTGAGTACTGGTGACCTTGACCAAACTGACCCCTAACTCTATCCAAAAGAAGAATACCATGTATGTTATCTTCCTACCAAATATGAAATACATCTGTCAATAAATAAAGGCTGTATGGGCAAAAGTGTAAAAATCTATTTTTAGCACTTGTGACCTTGACCCAACTGACCCCTTACTCCATCCAAAGGAAGAATACCATGCAAGTTATCTTCCTACCAAATATGAAATACAACTGTCAATAAATAAAAGCTGTATGGGCAAAAGTGTAAGAATCTATTTTTAGCACAAGTGACCTTGACCCACTGATCCCTACCCCAATCAAAAGGATGAATACCATGCAAGTTATCTTCCTACCAAATATAAAATATATCACTTAATAAAGGCTGTATGAGCAAATGTGTAAAAAATCTATTTTTAGCACTGGTGACCTTGACCCAACTGACCACTAACTTCATCAAAGTTTATGTTTCTATCAATTATAAATAACATCTGTCTATAGAATAAGGTCAATACACCTGTAAAAATCTATTTTTAACATTGGTGACCTTGACATTGGTAACATTGACCTTGACCCAAATGACCCCATACTACACCAAAAGAAGGAGGTGTTTGTATAAAACTAAGACATTAACTAAATAAGAGCACCGCTAGGCGGAGCATTATATGCCCAAAAGTGTTTTTTTAGTAAAGATGAAGCATTTGTAAGACATGGGAATTAGCTGTTCATCCTATAAAATTTTACAGATGTAGGTTGATTAATACTTAAGCTATTTATGATGACCTTAACCTTTGACCTTGTGACCCTAAAATCAATAGGGGTCTTCTACCTTATATGGACAATCATCCTAAGGAGTTTGAATATTGTGGGCCAAATGGAACTTTAGTTATGCTCCGGAAACTTAAGTATCGAGGTAATAGTGACCTTGACCTTTGACCTTGTGACCCCAAAATCAATAGGGGTCTTCTACCCAATATGGACAATCATCCTATGAAGTTTGAATATTGTGGGCCAAATGGAACTTAAGTTATGCTCCAGAAACTGTTTTCAGTATCAAGGTAATAGTGACCTTGACCTTTGACCTTTGACCCCAAAATCAATAGGGGTCTTCTACCCAATATGGACAACCATCCTATGAAGTTTGAACATTGTGGGCCAAATGGAACTTAAATTATGCTCGGGAAACCAAATTGCTAACAGACGGAAACTGTTTTCAGTATCAAGGTAAAAGTGACCTTGACCTTTGACCTTTTGACCCCAAAATCAATAGGGGTCTTCTACCCAATATGGACAATCATCCTATGAAGTTTGAACATTGTGGGTCAAATGGAACTTAAGTTATGCTCCGGAAACTGTTTTCAGTTTTAAGGTAATAGTGACCTTGACCTTTTGACCCCAAAATCAATAGGGGTCTTCTACCCAATATGGACAATCATCCTATGAAGTTTGAACATTGTGGGCCAAATGGAACTTAAGTTATGCTCCGGAAACTGTTTTCAGTTTTAAGGTAATAGTGACCTTGACCTTTGACCATTTGACCCCAAAATCAATAGGGGTCTTCTACCCAATATGGACAATCATCCTATGAATTTTGAATATTGTGGGCCAAATGGAACTTAAGTTATGCTCCGGAAACCAAATTGCTTACGGACAAATTGCTAACAGACGGAAACTGTTTTCAGTATCAAGGTAATAGTGACCTTGACCTTTGACCTTTTGACCCCAAAATCAATAGGGGTCTTCTATCCAATATGGACAATCATCCTATGAAGTTTGAACATTGTGGGTCAAATGGAACTTAAGTTATGCTCCGGAAACTGTTTTCAGTTTTAAGGTAATAGTGACCTTGACCTTTGACCTTTTGACCCCAAAATCAATAGGGGTCTTCTACCCAATATGGACAATCATCCTATGAATTTTGAATATTGTGGGCCAAATGAAACTTAAGTTATGCTCCGGAAACCAAATTGCTAACGGACAAATTGCTAACGGACGGAAACTGTTTTCAGTATCAAGGTAATAGTGACCTTGACCTTTGACCTTTTGACCCCAAAATCAATAGGGGTCTTCTACCCAATATGGACAATCATCCTATGAAGTTTGAACATTGTGGGCCAAATGAAACTTAAGTTATGCTCCGAAAACCAAATTGCTAACGGACGGAAACTGTTTTCAGTATCAAGGTAAAAGTGACCTTGACCTTTGACCTTTGGACCCCAAAATCTATAGGGGTCTTCTACCCAATATGGACAATCATCCTATGAAGTTTGAACATTGTGGGTCAAATGGAACTAAAGTTATGCTCCGGAAACTGTTTTCAGTTTTAAGGTAATAGTGACTTTGACCTTTGACCCCAAAATCAATAGGGGTCTTCTACCCAATATGGACAATTATCCTATGAAGTTTGAACATTGTGGGCCAAATGGAACTTAAGTTATGCTCCGGAAACCAAACTGCTAACGGACAAATTGCTAACGGACGGAAACTGTTTTCAGTATCAAGGTAATAGTGACCTTGACCTTTGACCTTTTGACCCCAAAATCAATAGGGGTCTTCTACCCAATATGGACAATCATCCTATGAAGTTTGAACATTGTGGGTCAAATTGAACTTAAGTTATGCTACGGAAACTGTTTTCAGTTTTAAGGTAATAGTGACCTTGACCTTTGACCTTTTGATCCCAAAATCAATAGGGGTCTTCTACCCAATATGGACAATCATCCTATGAATTTTGAACATTGTGGGCCAAATGGAACTTAAGTAATGCTCTGGAAACCAAATTGCTAACGGACAAACTGCTAACAGACAGAAACTGTTTTCAGTATCAAGGTAATAGTGACCTTGACCTTT